GGACCTGGGGGGCAGGGAGCGGGGTGTGGGGGGGCTATGGGGAACTAGCGCCGTCTGTGGCCAGCATACTCAGCCCCTGGCGCTCAGAGGCAAAGGAAATTAACGTGGCCACAGCCTGTCACTTTCTCCAGGGCTCTTAATCCCCTTCGGGCCTGGCTGCAGCTGCTCTGGAATCCCCCCTGAATGGCATCGCTCAACCGGGCTGCTCCCGGGGCTGGGGTGGGACAGAGGGAAGAAACCGCCCAGATTCAGGGTAAACGCCCCCCAGCCAGGGAGACGAGCTGCCCTGCGGAGATGGGGGCAGGCCAGCCCCAAAAGAGGCAGGGGGCAGGAAAGAGAGCAGTGAGGAGCAAACACCCCACGCTCCAGCAACCACGCCCCATTCTCAGCTCCTCCGGACCCTGACAGGCTCCCCAGCATCCACTCCAATGAGTCCCACGGGGGATTGGGGGGGGCTGCTTCGGGTGGAACTTTTCCAAGGTGCTCACTTTTGGGGGGCCCAGCCTGAGACACCTTGCGTGAGCCTGGAGGGGTTTTCATGTCAGCGTCTAACTCTGGAATTCAAGCCCTTTGCGGGGCCATGAGAAGGGGAGCCCCAAAGAGCTTTAGAAAATTGTCACGGTTGAATCCATCGCTACCCAGAACCCTTCCGGGGAAACAGAACAGGGAACCCATACCCGGCTTCTGACAAACAAAAGCTGAAGGTGCTTCAGAGCATAATTTTGCATCCCTGCCCAGCCTGGCTAATAGCCATTGCTGGACCTCTCCTTTACGAACGTAGCTAGCTTTTTTTTGAACCCTGTTATTGTCTTGAGCTTCACAACAACCCTCCAGCAAGGAGTTCCACAGGTTGACTGTGCATTGTATGGGGGAAGTACTTCGTAATTTTGTTTTAAACCCACTGCCTATTCATTGAATTGGGTGACCGCTGGTTCCTGTGTTCTACGAAGGGATAAACCACGCTCCTTTACTCACTTTCTCCACACCAGTCAAGACGTTAGAGACCTCTCTCCTAGCCCTTCTTAGGCAGACTTTTTCCACTTAATCCCATGGCCCAAAGTGCTTGGGCTTCAAGAAAAGCATGAGATGCCAGAGAGCTCCCTTCCTCTTTCACAAAACAGGCCAGATCCTCCCCCCAGGCACATTCGCCTAATGTGGAAGGCAACCGGAGTGACTCCGGTTTACCCCTGTCAAGGAAGTGGCCAGCGAGTAACCCCCTAGGAGCAGGGCAGAAATGGGAAAACGAAGAAGGAAAATCCAACCTTTACCTAAGAGTTTGCTTCAAGGGCATTAGAAGTCACCCGTCGACGTCTCCTTTCCAGCTGCACCGTTCTCAACCGTTCTCCCGCCAGGCACTGAGGCCACCAGGAAATGCCCAGAAACCTCCCCCTGCTGCTCTATTTTGGTGTAAATAGCAGAGAGCAGCCTGTGAAGTGCAGGTGTGTCTGTGGCTGGTTTGGAGGAGCCATGGCTGGGCAAGAGACTAAAACAGACCCAACCAGGAGCCCCCAGGAGGGGAAGGGGGCAGGAAATGATCACGCAGGGAGGCTGCCAGGTGGTTGGTTCTGCTCTGTATTAGGGATGTGGGTGGTTAACTGGTTAACCAGGAAGCCCCACTCTTCATGGGTGAGGTTTACTGGTTCTGGTTAACTGGTAGGGGCTGGAGCAGCCCTTGTCCGTGGCAGGGGGGCCTGCTCCAGCATGCCCCCCTTTCATTGGTTAACTGGGTAAACACAATGTTTAAGTGGTTAACCAATTAAACGGGATTTTTTACATCCCTGCTTTGTGCTGCCAGCGGAGGAGAGGCCAGGGGCTGGATTTTAAACCTCTGTGCTGCTGTGTGTGTGTGGGGGGTCTCTACAGAGAACTGCCCTGAAGCCCTAGCTAAGATCCCCATGCTCCAGGGCAGAAGGGTGGCTGAGGGTCAGGAAGAATTCTACCCCTTCCCACACTAATGCTGTGAGATTCTGCAGAGTGGCTGTGTTGGTTTCATGGCTTACAAAACACCTGTCCCCCCGGGGGGCTGGAGCAGGGGCAAAAGGGAAGCTGCCTCGCTGCCCACCAAGCGAGCATAAACCGTGGAAATCCGCCTCACCAGATGGATCAGGAAAGGGGTGGGCGTGAGGTCTAGGAGAGAGGTGAACGGCAGGAGAGAAGACAGCTGGCGTTGGCATCCGGACTCCTGTCCTGGATTCTGGGGTTTGTTTGGTTTTGCCTTTCACTCACTGGGTCAGTTTGGACAAGGCTCTGCCCCTTTCCCGTGCCTCGGTTTCCCCCTCTGTAAAACGAGGACAGTGAAATGTCACCCCTCTTTGCTAAGGGACTTTGAGATCTAGGGAGTCAAAGATGCCAGATAACAAAAGGCAGTTACGGGTTCTCAATACACCACAAATAGTCCTGCAGCACTTTAGAGACTAACAAAACATACAGATGGGCTCATAAGCTTTCGTGGGCACAGCCCACTTCTTCCAGTGGGCCTCATGATCCCATCTACATTTTTGCTCGTCTCTAAGGTGCTGCTGAACTATTCGTTGTTTTTTAAGTTTCTCCAGATACAGACGAACACGGCGACCCCTCTGAAACTTTTCAACGTGTCCTCAATTTGACTGCCTGAGAACCAGGAAGTGAAACTGACTAGAACTTAACGACTTAATTACCTGCATCCTGCTTCAAAAGCCTTTTAAGACTGCACTTGAAAGAGAATCCTCTGAACAGTTATTCATGCTTAAATTCGACACTTTACACCTGAGTCTGAATAAACAATCTATTATCTTACACATTACAAAGATAGCTTCCCCATTATCACCTCTAATATCATTAGCTCACAGACATTTACAGAACTTAACGACTTAATTACCTGCATCCTGCTTCAAAAGCCTTTTAAGACTGCACTTGAAAGAGAATCCTCTGAACAGTTATTCATGCTTAAATTCGACACTTTACACCTGAGTCTGAATAAACAATCTATTATCTTACACATTACAAAGATAGCTTCCCCATTATCACCTCTAATATCATTAGCTCACAGACATTTACCTCCCCCCCCCACCCCGCTTCTGTTCTGAAATTTGATGTGTCCTTTTCATATGTGTTCATTTTTTTTAATTGTATCCTTTGGTATATATGGTTGTGACAATTTTCTTCCACTATTTGATCTGACGAAGTGGGTCTGGTCCACGAAAGCTCATCATCTAATAAACCATCTTGTTAGTCTTTAAAGTGCTACATAGTCCTGTCTTTTGTTTCAGCTACATCAGA